GAACTGGCTAAAGTCCATCCATTTGCATTCACTGCCCCTTTCTCTTGCAATTGCTGTGATTTGGGGTTTTCCTGCTATTGTTGCTTTTGCTTTTGTTATCAGCACTAATATATGCTTGAAAGAAACCTTAATGGAATCACCTAAAATTATTTTTAAAATCACCTGTTTTCTTTGAGAATACATCACAATTTGTTGTCTTTTCCACATTCAAAACACAGTTCCCAATATCAGAAAATCATAGAATTGTTGGATTTGGAAGGCACCTCCATAGATCAGCAAGTTCAAGTCCTCTGCTCAAAGCCGGATCAACTAGTGTACATTGCTCTGAGCTATGTCCAGTTGGGTTTTGAATATCTCCAAGAGCGTAGAATCCACAAGGTCTCTAGGTCCCAATTTCTGACCAATTCCACAGTAAAACCATTTTCCTTATTAATTTAAATAGAATTTTCTGTATTTCAATTTATTGCCTCCTGTCATTTCACTGGATACTACTCAGATAAGTCTTTCCTCATATTGATTAATAGTTATTTAAACACACTTATAAGATCCTTCTGAGCCTTCGCATCTCCAGGATGAACAGTCCCAGCTTTTTCAACCTCTCCTCTTATGAGAGATAGTCCAGTCTTTAATGATTTCATGCCCCTTCACTGGACATAGTGCAGTATATCCATGTCTGTTTTGTACTGGGGAGCCCAGATCTGGACCCATCCACACATGGCCTCATCAGTGCTGTACAGAGGGGAAAGATCACCTCTCTCAACCTGCTGACAACACTCTTTCTCACACAGCGCAGAATGCCACTGGCCTTTTCTGTCGCAAGGGCATATTGCTGGCTCATGTTCAGCCTTCATTCACCAGGACCTCCACACCCTTCTTTCAAAATCTGTACTACAGAGAGTTGGCACTGCATACGGACTGGTGCACAGGATTATTCCTCTCCAGATGCTGGACTTTGCATTTCCTGTTATGAAACTTCACGAGATTTCCTGTTCACCCATTTCTCCAGCCTGTTGAGATCCTTCTGGTTGGCACCACAACAGACTGGTGAATCAGGCATTACTCCAGTTTTGTGTTGATGTCTCAGAGCTTTTTGGATTTTTTAACTTTTGTAGATTTTAGAAGTAGTTGCGTAGTAAATGTAGATTTTAATGTAGCTGTATTATATCACTTATGCTCTAGCATAATGTTTACACATACCCAATCCTATTATCCCATTTCATATCAATCCCTCTAAATTCTATTAGTGTGTTTAGTCTTCTTTTCAAGGTAGAATTGTAGAAAAGCCTGGATCAGAAGGTATCACATAGACACAGCTACCTTCAAGCCCAGAACTTTGGAGGAGCTCCAAGGACTATACGTGTTGCGAAGAAGATGAGGAAGAAGGGGTCCCAAAGACCCCAAACCCAATTCCCGAAGGGGCGTGTCAGGGGGCAGAACTGGGCAGAACCGCAGGGTGGATAAATCTGGGATTGAATGGACCTTATTATAGAATCATAGAACCACTGTTTGGGTGGGCACGCATCATGTGTATTCCCCCGGCATGTAGGCTGATTAAAGAACCTACTCTCTTTGTCTTAAACACTAAATTGGCCTGGAAAGTTTTTTTTCTGTGGTTTCTTAAGGCAACAGTGTCATATGCAAACTGGCTGAGAGTGCACTCTGTTCCACCAACGAGGCCATTAATGAAGAGATTAAACAGTATTGTATCCTGTATCAGACACTGGGAGTACTTCCTAGTGACTGGCCTTCAGCTGCTGGTCACAGCCCTTTGAACCTGCCATTTCAGACAATTTTCAATCCATGTCGCCCTTCATTTATCTAGCCTACACTTCTACGATTCTTACAAGAATCTCTCTCCATCTTCCTTAATTCTTAGCATCTAGGGAGGTTATTTTGGAATTTGAATCACTTTCTATCATTGAGTGACATCATCAAAAAGAATTCTAATTGACAAATCCTACACCAATCCCTAAAATAGCTCAGCCTTAACTTCTTCCACTTCCAAAGGGACAGCCATTTAGTATGACTGTATTTCATCTGACAAGTCTTTCATCTGTTATATTTTCCTGTTTTCATTACTCTTGTCAAAGACTTGTTCAAAAACCTTTACTAGAGCCAAGGAAATTCTATCTCCTCCCTCTTTCAAATAGACTTATTTAATTTTTTCCAAAGAATTCTAAAAAGACAATGAAAAGCCAGTGAATAATTCTATGTGAAACTGTATTTTAAAATACTACTACTATTGCTACTCCTTCCCCCCGCCCCAGACATAGTCTGTAGATCTTACAATAAAAATACAGTATTCCTTAATCATCTTATTCTCTAATACCATAAGTAGATTACAGGAAGTACCAGTACTGAAACAATCAAAGCAAGAGCTTCTGGACACCAAAATCCCACTCTTCCTCACTGTATACTGCTGTTTAAGAACAATACATGTTAAAGAAAAAAAGGATTGCCCATCCATTCTTATAGTAAGGAACTCTGGTGTACTTTAAGAAGTAGCAGCATAAACAATCAAAAATCATTGATTATTGTATCGGCATTACTCCCACAGAGGAAAGTGGTAGAACTTCCACTGATTTCAGAGGACACTTGACCAATGCAGAGTGTATATCACATACTAAGATGAAAAGTGAAAATAAATGTCTTATGGAAGGTTCAGAAAGAGTAGCATGAGGATATCATACATTTGAGGGTAGAAATATGATGCTGATTCTAAATTTCAGCTATGCAAAGTAAGCCTAGCTACAACAAGCTGCTGAACGGATGATAGGTAGAAACTGAACTCTATCAGTGAAATGTAGCACAAAATCAAGACAGGAAAATACTTCAAGAAACTAACTACAACCAATGCTTTATTTCTGCAGAGGACCTCTTGTTGAAGCGGTACAATCTTTCTGGGCCTTGCAGGTTCTGCTATGTTCCTGGCTAAGCAGATGGTGTCAGAAGCTACCAACGCCTTCTACCATGACAGATAAACTTGAAGACTCCCACTGCCACAGCTAAATAACACTTTGGTCATAGCCTTTGGCCTATTTTTCAGCTTTAAGCTTAGTTCTGCAATACCTTGTGCATGGACTTTAAAGAAAATGCCATAAAAGATTGTAAATATGGGATAGACAGCACTTAAGAGCTTTGGCATTGATGCGCCATACAAAACATATGCTTCTTGCTCCACCATGGATTCAATTACTAATTTCACAATGGATTTGGAAGAGTATAACAGTGTTGTAATTTTCAAATTACTGCAAATAAGAAAATGGCTGAAGAAGCAGATACAACTGCCTGTTATGTCAGTCTGTCATCCATCTCTTCTTCACTACTATCTCTTCCTTTCTTCATAGCTGAATTGTTTTTCCAACCGACAGCATAGATTTACTTATTTTTACAGCTCCAACTTTATCAATAACAAAGGCAATGCAAGTGAGAAAAAAACAGATCTATATTTTCCCGTAACAAGTTGCACCTGGAACAGAGAATTCTAAATGTCTTTAAAAAAAGACATATCATCCTTATTATTTATTCCATTCTATATTAGTTATAAACATAATCCTCATTTCTCCATACTATTCTCTCAGCATGATACATGTAACACCAGTCTTTTGATTATGTGAAATAAATAATGTGTAGGAAACTCCGTTTAGGTTTTATGCTATTGAGATTTATTTCTGCAAAATAATTACATTTTGATGGCTTCCAGAAAAAGACTCATGACTACTCCTTTTTTTCAGTATCCCAGTGTAGTTTTCAAATCTTTTCAAATTAGCACTTACTGTTCATCTGCTTATAATTAGGTTTAAATTATATTTTATTTCATGCTGCACTGAAATAGCACATTATAGATATGAAGACACTGATAAGCACATAGAAGTGTCAGTGACTACCTTTTCAAAGAGTTAACCATAAAACTCTAGATTTTATTGTTTACTATAGAAAAGTACTTAGCTCAAAATGTCAATTTAGTTGTGAAAGTAGGTACAATAATAAGAAACAATTTGTTGTCTTTATAAAATTTGTTCATGCTGTTTATTCTATGCATATGCTAGTGATCTAGTGGTGGAACAGATTACATTTTAACCCAGAAATGCACAGATGAAAGAAGACCAGGCTCAAAAATACCAGTGGCACCTCTTAAAAGTAAACCCTGCATTTTGTTATATGGAAATGATGGTATACATACACAAAGAAAAAAAAAGGAAAAATGATATTATGAATAGTGCTTAGCAGGGCTGAATCTATTGATTCAGGTTAGGATTTTTTTCCTTCATTTTCTTTGTTTAGTCTTTTAACTTTAAAACTTTGACTGTGTGAAAATAAAGACCCTGTAATGAAAAGGTTAACTGAAATGTTCTTTAAACTGTCCTTGCCTCATGTAAAAATATTTATCTGGGACTACTCAGCCAGACATTTTTTGATTATTGTAGGGCTTATCTGAGACAATGGAAATTCATCAAAATTAGAGGACTTTCAAATACACAGGTAAGTATTTATTGTATCTTTACCTGGCAATTTGCCTAATAAAAGGCCAGAGGTATACCCTGATAAATTAACACAGGCATATTAACATCCAGTTTGCTAAAACAGTTCAATAGTAGATACAAGAAAGAAGGATGTATTTCTCAGACAGTACTATAAAGTGTTAACTTCTAAGATATATGAACTATGAAACACAAACCAGAGAAGCTGTTGATTTTAGGACACAATATGCTTGAAACTGTTCCTAGGTAAACTGGCTGCCTTCTGTTACATACAGAAAAACATGGTAAATTTACACAGGTGGAATCACATAGGTGTGTGGCATTTTGTTTTCTTGTTCTGTGGATTTAGGGTATTCACACACACACACACAGAAAACTCTCCTTTATCCAGACTGGCTAAAAACCCAATGGCGTTAAAAAGAACATAACATCTCAAGATGGTGTTTCTTAAAATCTGAAAATTATTATTTTCCTTTCTAAGTTTTATGTTTAATACTATGTGCCAAATATATTATTTACCTATCTCAGAAGCAGCCACTGTGATGTTGTACCAAGGTGTCTCCTCTCTGTCAAAGATCTTGGCAGTCTTAATGGTCCCAGTACTAGCATCAATGGTGAAATACCTATCTTCTTCTGTGTTATGATCAATGAAATATCTATGAAGAAATATAACAATAAATATATACTTATTGTAGTATATATAACCCAAAGCAACAGAAAGCTACATATGAATATAACTTTCAAGCTTTAAAATCAAAGACATTTTTAAAAACACCCTAAGAAAAAAAATCTATATTATGGAAAAACCCAACGTAGCACCATATTCCATTTTTTTCATAATGTTTCATTTCTTTTGATACACAACAAGGCTTCCACTGTGAGTCACAAGGATATAAATTGCTAACAGGTGGTATTTTACACAGCAGTATACAATCCTGTCAAAGGTAAGAGACACATGTATTTTGACTAAAAATCGGGAAATGGAAAAGCAGAAAAGAAAGCAGAGAGATATTAAGATATTATTTTTCCGTTTATTTGCTTGTCACTGCAAGCCACTGTGCTCAGTGTTGGTAGCTGTTTTGAAGTACGTCTCTCTGACATGAAGCTGATGACATGATGACACAAACCATTTTGAGCATAACCATTACAGAGATTAATGTCAGAAATGGCTGGTTCCCAGAGCTGCAATTGACACTACCGTAGAAGCAGAGCTAAGCATCCCTGCTTTACAGCCTTGGATTCTGAGCACTTTGCCTGGCAGAGAAAGTAAAAACCTTGAAGTGGATAATGGAAGCAGAGGGAAAGAACACAAAAGAAGAGGTTGACATTTTTCCTCAAAGTCAGAATCATTTACAATGGCTTTTAACAAATGAAGAAATTACAAGACCCTATCAAGCCTTCTTCATTACCTCCAAAAATAAAAAATAGGGAAATGGATTATTTTATATACCATAATTATTTTTCCTTATAATTTGTCAGCCCTGCTTTTATCCTGTAAAGTTTTTAACATATGGAAGGTATATAAAGGTCAAAATGATTTCTTTTCCCCATCCAATTGCACTTATTTTTACATCAACAGAAGTGTAATTGTCAGCTTATAAAAAGAGGGTGCACATAAAAGCTGACAAGCTCAAAAAAATTAAAAATAACTTCAGTTTTATTTCTCTCACAATGTACTTATTTATACTATTTGCGGAAAGGAAAAGTAAACAAACATTTAATTGAATGCTATACTAAAGTGAGAGATGACGTGAAAAAGCAAAAGAAAGAAAACACTTAAAGAAGGAAGCAGCAATTTGAGTCACCTTAACTTGTCAAAAGATCAGACACTCACTGGAAAAGCCAGCTAGGACTTGATGACTTAGGTTAGATCTTCCTTACTGGAGAGAATCTGAACCCACCTCTCCCATCTGGAAGCAGTGTTTTACATCTGCCTTAAAATGTACTATTTTGCCTATTGGTACTCCAGAATACTTTTCATGCTTCCAATATTTTTAGCAATTAAAGAACCGTAGTTCAGTCACTAGAAATCAAAGCAGCCAAAGTTAGGCTTCTTGCCTGTTCTCCATCTTGCCTTTTGACATCATGACGAGTGAACCCCCTCCCATGTGACTTTAGGAGTTGTTTAAGAGACAACAGACCTCAGTTCCTACCCTATTTCTCTAGAATAAGGATTTAACTTGCTGTCTCCCATCTGAGCTAAGTCAGAACCTATTGTGCAGTTCATTAATTACCAACTCCTGAGAATACCTCATTCTAAAATACACCAGAATTACTCAATAAAGACACTTTGAACGTGCAAGATGGCAGCTGAAGTTGCTTTAAACAAGTGACAGACTCAAACTGTCTCCTTATGAAAGTGGACTGGCAAAATCTTGATTATGTAGGAGATGGGGCAATTTTTAAGAGTTTAAGTCAGGAATTTATTTTTTTTCAGAGGACATTATTTAATCAGAGTATCCCTAACTGGATGAGAGAAAATGAAAGCAAGTGATGTTGCCCGAAAAAGAACAAAAAAATGCTGAATTTATAATTGCTGGATCACAGTGGCCATTGCGGACACACTTCTTCAACTTGGTGTGCTTCTCTACACTCAGTAAACTCAGGAGAGGAATTAAAAGCAAACTCTTGATGAACATTCATTGGTCACTGATGATGACTTGCTGGATGGTGCAGATATCCAAACAAATTGATGTTGCTTTGAGGAATATTGGAATCCTCTGAGGACACATCACAAAAGAAAAAAAACAACCCAAAGATCCAAAAAAACACCCATTCAAAAAAGAACCACACAGTTATCCTCTTGGCTTTATTTAATGTGACACTATTCATCCAGGCTATCATCTCCTCTTTATTTAGGAATCCAGATTTGTTTTTCAATTTCAAAACAACTGATTTTTCCAGTGTTTCTGCAGGTCTCCATCTTCCATGAAGCACAGATTTGCAGGTTCTCCAATGTTTATTTGTCATAGAAATGTTTTGAAAGACTGCCAGTCTCACTGAAGAAATTCTATCTACCATGTGCACAGATAGAATTACCTTTTACTATTTACAAAAATTCTGGAGACAGTGGTATCAACCTCTAAAAATCCATAAGGCTGCCATATTTGTCACAGAGTTGGGTTGATATTTGAAATTTGTATGAAAGATACATGCTTCAAGTGCAGAAATGCCCCCATGCCTTACATGTTATGCTTGGCAGTGTAGGAAAACTGAGCTACGACAAATAGTTGGAACTTTTTGATTATACTACTTGTAGTAGTATAATAGTAATGCAGAAATTATGAACATTTGGTTGTGTTGGGCAAGATACATACACAGATACACAAATATCTCTTACATGATGAACTAGAAAACTAATAAAGTGTAGAAAGTATAATTGTCCCTCAGTTTTCTTAGAGACCTTTTACTGGTAAAGCTTACAATCAGTTATGCAATGATAAAATTTAATTACTTCTCTCCTACTATATCTTTGTTTTTCCTGACTCTAGAAGTCTCCTGATAATTAAGAGAATTATTTGCTAAAAAAAATAAATAAAATATGCTCTCCTGACCAGTTCTTATGGAATATGTACTGCAAATCCAAAACAAGTTACAAGAGTCTTGTCCCTACAAACATTTATTACTCTGGACATTGTTTGCTCATTACCAACATCAGGCACAGTGACTATTCTGTGAGTCACTATTGTACTGACCACAGAATGATAAAAATAGGGCTATGTATTGTTTGTAGACAGTAGCTGAAAAATAAACAGAATTTCAAATTGGGCTTCAATGAGAAAAAAATAAAACAGTAAGAATACCCAGCTGCTTTATTGTGTATGTGACTTATAACAAAATATTACATCTGCCTCTGAGTACAGAAATAAAAATGAAAAAATCTGTCCCAAATATGAAGCTTGTGTAAAAAAACTGAAGTTTGTTTTTCTGATGAATTGTGACTACCTAATAGTTCATTTTCAGAAACATATAGTAAAAGACAGTCTTATTTTTTTTCAAATATGAACACCTTTTTCTAAAACAGTTACTTAAGTTTTCCAAAGAAGCTCAAATCTCTCTTTTTAAAGATCTCCAATTGCATGAAGAATTTCAATTGTATTTTCTGTGCCATTAATGGAAATAAAGTGGTCCTGAGGTAACTTATTGTACTAGCACTTTTACTTCCAAAGATACCAGAATAATGAAAAATGTTTCTAATTTCTCCACAATAGCACTTCCTCTCCATGTGCTGACTTTTGCATACAATTACAGACATGCTGAAATATTCACAGCTTGACAAATTTTTCTTGATCAATTAATAAATAAGAGAGCGGTACTTTCTTTTGCTTTCCCATTATTGTAACATTCAGTTCTCTTCCACTACTCCAGATTCTTCCTTAAAATTGCATTGTGTATCATTTAAAGCAGCTATTTGCACTTCTGTGGTTTCCAATCTTCATGAACATCTCAGTAAAACAAGTTACAGAAAATATTCCCACACAGCAGAAAAACTCGGAATGCTAGTTCTGCTCCCAAGTGTTTTAAAAATACTTTGTACAAGAAACACTTTTGATAGAGTATCTCATTTTTGTCATGTTAGAGGACATTTAGAACAAGTTTAACTGTATTTACAAAGTGCTGAAAAATTTAGGCCCTTATAAATACTAGCAACTGATTTATCTGTATGTTGAGAACAGATACCAGATACATCCATAAATATGGCACATTGTGGAGCTAATGATGCTTTACTTAGGCTTCTGAATTTACTTCATCTGGTTAAAAAAATTACTTTCATGTAGATAATAGTGGCAACAGAAATAGTCATTTTCTTCCCCTCCTACCTTTCCCTCCACATCTACTGAGCTGCTTTCCAATGCTTTTTCTAGACCACAAAAAGATATAGTGTAAGTTTTTAATTTCAAAGTGTTATTTCAAATGTGATTTTTCACCCTAATACAGTTGACTGTTTCTGCTTATTTAGAACACATTAATTCAAAAATTAATTTACAATATCCATTTGAAATATTTGTTTATAGACATTTACTCATGACAATGCTGTGTGAGCATACATTTAACCACTAACCATTAAATCAGAACATCTAAGTTGCATGACACATGTTAATAAAGAGACTTAATAACAAGACATGCCTAGATAAACAGCGCTCCATAAACTGCTTACGTTCAAACCAGCAAGAGAAACCAATCTGAAAGAAAATACATTTAAAAGGATCATGAATACAGAAAACCTATTAGTCACACTTTGAACATAATCTGAAGGAAATTAAATACTAAAACTGAATCCTGCTAGCACTGGGAAAGGCAACACATGCCACCTTTTTGTTAGGAAGTGCCAGTGAACAGAAGGGCGTTCCCAGCTTCCATCCATGTCCTTATTTCCTCTTCTGACCAAGGAAAGCCTCTGGTTTCTCTGACATCATTCCTCACTTCCAGTCCTTTAGTGAAGCAGTGGTTCAGTGGTGACAGATATTCCCCACACTTTTACTGAAAACTAAAAGCTTTTGCGACAATTAGAAAATAAAGAGTAATATATATGCAAGATGGCCTTTGGGCAGAAGGTCACTCTAGAACATATAAATCTGCTTTCAGTATTAAAGCAGTTAGACTCTAATAATACAAAGACTGCTTAAAAATAGAGAAAATTTTAAAAGGTGCTAAA